GGTATTACATATTGTGTCTTAACAATACCATCTTCTTCAATATAATCAACATCATCCATTTTTTCAAGTTCCTTTGCAAATTGTAGTGTCATTTCTCCAGTAAGTCCAAAAAGATTAACAATTCCGAAACTAGCGAAAGTGGGTTTTCCTTTATTGCTAAGAGATTTAATTTTTTCGAAACTATCAATTTCTGCATCAAAACAATTTTTAAACAACTCATGTTGTCTTTTAGCAGCTTGCTCGTCTTTAAAGACAACGATAACTTTTTTCCCTTTACCATCAGACTTGGCATTGATTGATAATGTTTTAGGGCAATCAGTTTCATTTTTTGCTGATTCAACCGAGGAAAGCAAGAAAGTAACAATTACAGCGATAGAGAATATTTTAGTGAAGCGTGGAGCAACCATTTTTTTTTTTTTGATAATTAATAGTTTTTTAGGTAAGAATTTTAGGTAAAATATAATAAAAGAGGAGGGTGATGATTTAATGATTTATTCTATCCACACGGTGGATAAAGAATTTGTATTATAAAATGAGGGGAAGGAGAGATTAGACTCTGGTTAGGATTTTTTATTATTATTTTGATTTTTGATTTTTCGGATGAAGAAAATTGTAAAGCAAAACTGGTTTGTATTTATATACAAAAATTTCTCAAATTTGGAAAATAAATTTTACTTACGCATTGTTGTTAACGATTACGTTTTTAGTGAAGATTTTCAAGCAATATTAAACTCGGCCGTAGATCCTTGTTCGGTTTTAATGTACTGTAAGTTTGTTTCAAATTTTATACTTATTTACCAAAATTGTTATGTTGCACACACACAACAGGGCGGACGTCCCTCGAATTTGCAGATCATTTGCCGATCATTTATTTATGATGATGTCACATTAGAAAAAAGAAATGTCTATTTTTTATATTAATGGAAACATTTTCAGAAAAATTCTACAGATATTATTCCAAAATGTGATATATATATATGTATATGTATTTGCAAAATCGAAATATTATTGAAAATTTACTGATATAAATAATGATTTAACATTATTTATTAAAAATTTCATATCATTAATTTCTGTTAAATGTTAGAAATTTAACGGAATTAAATTCAAAAAATTTTGTGGCACAATTTGTATATTAATTTGTGGCATTAATTTATTAAATTTTATGGTACAACCTATTAATTTCATATTTAATTCAAAAAATTCTCCAATAATTAAAAACCTGTATTTTGTAACGGATTACTGTATTTGTCTGTATTATTTTTACTATAGATTGTATATAAT